GCCATTTTAAGATAAGTGAAAGTCTTACCCGACCCAGTGGTGCAATTAGACCTGTTATACCATTCTGAGCAAATAAGAACTTGTCATGTATAGGCTTTATCTGAGCATTTTCTAACTTCCTCTTGTTCTTGTTTAAAACATTCTCAAATTTCTTTGTCAATGTCAGCAAACTTTTTTTCTAACATATTTTTAGAAAAATTAAAATTTTTATCTTTTAGAAAATGTCTAGCGATTTCGCTATCTATATTCGAGACAAGCTTTTCGACAGCAAACATCTGTCGACCATAAAATCTTACATAGTGTAAACAAGAAAGGTGAATTTGTTCTAAAGTTCTGTTTCTGGGAATATGACAAGAACCATAAAACATTAAGCAGAAAGCAGTCTTAAAATTTGTCAATGACAGACTTGTTGACAGAGATGACGCCGATTGGAAAGATGAAGTCCAACAAAACTTCTTAGAATGCAAAGAAGACACATGCGCTGTTCTTGAAGATGAAATAGAAAACAGAATAGATGAGCTATTAAAGGACAAAGAACTTTTACATAAATATAGTTGCGCCAAATTTGACATAACTCCACCAGAAAAAGAAGAAGAAAGAAAAGAAAGTAGAAAGAAGAGAAGAAAGAACCTGAACCAGTTCCAGAGAAAAAGAAATTTGACATGTAAAAATAAAATTTTATTTTTAGAACATTTCTGGGTCAATGTCAATGTTCTCTTCCTCTTTAGGAGCAAACACTGGCTTAGACTCTAAAATCTTTTACCCAATTTACCTTGAACTTCAAACTTTAGACTCATAATATTCATAGTCGTCTGCTTTCTTTGGTTCATAAGGTATAACAAGTTTGTATGCTTTGCCTTCTTTAAGGTTTGAAAACCTTCTGTCAAAAACTTTCTTTGACTGCTAACAAACCTTCTATGTCTAAGTCTTCAAATTTCGCACCATTTTTAGTCACAATAGCAAACTTAACTGGTTCGATGTTCCAAACTTTGCTGAATGAAGACTTTTCAAAATGGTAGAAGTAAACATTCAAATATGTGAATGGGTCTAGTTCTTCTTTAAGTCCTGACATGTACTTTTTACTGAGATGAATTTTGCCATCTTTTTATCGGATAAAAAAATATTTTTTTTAAAATTTACTCATAAAAATTTTTCTTTGTATATACACCATTCTGTACGTCTAAAAGACTTTTGACATTTGCCAAGAAGTTCGTTTAGACGCTGTCATATAACCATATTCTTGACAATATTGTTTATACGAATCGTACAATGACCTTTCATCTAAACACTCAAAGTCAGTTTCATCTATGAACAGTTCATATACACTCTTGTTTGCTTCTAACAATGTTTGTCTCTCTTCGGTATGTGGAATTTGTCTTGGATTGAACTTTGAAATATCTAATGTCATAAAATATGAGAACAAGTGGTTGTAAAAGTCAGATGTCAAAGTTTCTGCTAAGTCGTCAAAATATTCTGTATCTTGCATATGAGCTTCTGACGTTCTGACAACTACATATCTTCTGTCAGAACTTTCTAACTTCATCGGAACAGCATTGTTTGAAACCATAATGAAGTTTGCAACATTTTCACAAACTCTTTGGTCTTTATATTTTCTTTCAACAACTCCAACTTTGTCTGTTATAAGACTCTTCAAAGCATCTGAGTTCAAAACTTTGTTGTATCTATACTTTGAAGTTCATTGCAAACTATAAGTTTCATATTCTCTATGAGGAGTTAAACTTGCCACAGATGTTTTCTAAGTTTGTCATATTCGGGTTCGAATAGCCCTTCTAACAGTTTGCACAAAATATCTGTAAAGAAAGTGTTCTTACCAGTTCCTTGTTTTCCAATTATAATGAGAGCAGTTTCATTTTAGCACTTGGATGTTGTAAGATGTTTGCAAACCAACATAAGATATACTCATAGACTCTTTCGTTTCCATTGCATATAATTTCTTTGACATGGTCTAACCAAGCTTCTATAATATTTTCTTTCCATTCTACTTGTTCGTATTTATATCCAGTGAAGATAGAATAGAAGTTTGGAGAAGGTGTATAGAACTTTATACCTCGAACTGAAAAATCTTCTAACTTTGACAATAAGATATCCCAAGCATCTAACATCTTCATCCAACTTGTACACTTTTTATTTTCTTAAGTTTCTGTCTACATTCTTGTTCTGAAACTATTGTTGCTTTAGGTTTGTTAAAGACTACATCCCATTCTTTCATAATAACATTCTGGGGCAGAGTCGACATAAATGACTAAACGTTTCAAATTCTCGACTGCTTTGTTATAGTCTCTAAATGGACACATATTTCTGAATGCTTGGAAGTCATAAAAATCTGAAACATCTATTCTGTACATTTTTATAAAAATAAAAAAAATATTTTTTTTATTCTTGACTTTGTTGTTGCATTTGTTGCATTTGTTGTTCTTGAGCTATTTGTTGTTGAAGTTGTTCTTGTAATACAATACTTTCACCAGTTGCATCTTCCAATTCGAAACTTTCTGCCGTCATTGACAAATACATAGGACATAAAAGTTTTACAGGAACAAAGTTTGCGTCAACTAATGTCAACGTTATACTTGCCAAAGTGTTTGAGTTCACTAAGGTTGAAAATTCTGCATTCGAATGAACAATAGGCAAACCAGCAGAGAAAGTATTGTTTATACGCATAAGTATCTTTTGGTCATAATAGTTTCTGTCGACATTCGAATAACACTTTGAACCTAAGTTTGAAACAATATATAAGATTGGTGTGCTTAATGTCAATGGAATAGACATTCCTTGTATGACACCTTTTCCTGTTATAGGAAACTGTTGGTAGTAAAAACCAGAAATAAGTTTTGTATTATAGCTCATATCGTTTATAGTAAACTCAGTCGGACATCCAAACATAATGAAACCTGCTCTAGTTGCAGCACATGTTACACCCGTACTTAAAGTATTAAATAAGTCAACAAAACCTGTTGGTGGTATATCTGAGTAAGTATCTTCAAAGGAGTATTTTTTACCATTCACAACAATAAAGTCTTCTGGTGTCAAAAGAGCAAAACAGGCTTTAGTCGTCATTGTGTTTAAGGTTAGTTTACAATATCGTCCTTGAGGACTTTGTAAGTTTGTTGTTATAGAATTATATGACTCAGGGTTTTTAGTCGTAATAGTATAAACCATTATATCTTCTGCCATTTATATATATTTAAAAGTTTTTCTGAAAGTGGAGAAGAACTTCATCTAAACTTTCACATGGCGTTTCTTGAAGTTCTCTGTCTAAGAAGTTCAAATATTTTGTAAAGACATAGAACTTTCCTTTGTCTACACGAACAAACAAAACAGGGTCTTTCATATCGTTCAAAAGTGTGTAAAGTCCTTTACATGAAATAAAGTCTATATTATTTTTCTTCAAACATCTTTCAAGAAGTTTTGACATTTTTACTTAGCAAATAAATTTAATGAAATGTTGTGGTCGTCAAATATTTTTATGACGTCTGGGAAACTATACTTTAAGTTCAACGTTTCACCTCCTTTCATAACGTATATCTTGTCAATGACATTATATGAAACACCACAGCAACTAATGTCGGGTTCTATTTCTTTGATGTTTATATCGTCTGCCTCTGTCAAAAGTTTCAATAGTTCTTTCAAAACTTCATGAGGTGCAATGACATATGAGTTCACTTTTACAGGGTTGTGTTCGACCAAGTTTAACATTATACTTAAAGCTTGACAAATCTTCTCCTGAGTTTGAAGTTTGTCTTTCAGTTGTTGGTAGTCGTTTCGAATATCTGCAACAGAACTTAAGTCTCTGCTAACTTCAGGATATGTTGGTTCTTTTACAGGAACAATTGTTATACCATCTTCGTCTTCGTATGGTTTCCCCACTTCAACATCTCTGTCTTTGACATTGACAATAACACTTTGACTGTTTGTTTGAGTTGGTGAATTTAACTTCACATCTGCCACCGCCATTAAACCTTTTGAAACACTCACGCTTCTATTTTTCGGAAATGACATTTTACTTAGAATAAAAAGATGGACGTATTCGAGTATCTCTTCGAATTGAAGCAGAACAAAGTTTACACACACAAACAATACAAATACATTGACAGAATAGTTCTTTATACAAACAATGGTAAATGTTATAGAATAGCAATATTTGCTGAACCAAAATATTTCCATAAAGCAAAGAAAGTTGGTATAACTGAAATGGTGAAAGTTCTTGAAGCAGACAAAAATATAACTTCAAAACTTACAGATATTTCTAAAGGTAAGTTTATCTTACAATATTATGTCAAAACTGGCGTACTGTCAATATTTGACGGAGAGAAGTCAGTTCAAGAACAACTTACTGACCTGCTGCCAAAATCTGCTCGATGGAAGCTGTCGTTATGCCAATCTGAGGAGCCCCAGCAGGTTTCATCGAACGAATCTTCAAAAGAGCATCTTCCGTGAAAAGTGCTATTGGTTTTGTAAACTTCTTTGCTCTCAGTTCATCTGGACCGTCTCTGTCACCAGTATATTGTATTTGTACAGTACCAACAGTTGAAATACCACCCATAAAGTCTTCTGAGTCAGCAAATGGAATGCCAAGCCAAAAGTTTGAACGGTCTCCATTTGTATATTGAGTTTTTTGACCTCCTGTATGAGTCCATACTTTCACATATGGCATAATAGAACTTTGCATTTCAGGGTTAATGGTTGTTGTGAAGTTGTTGTTAAAGTTCATAGCATCTAATGTCAAGTTGTATGACCTCATATCCTCAACTGTAGAATATTCTTCTCTTGGATAATATTTGCCATCTATGTTTATATGATATTTAATACCGGGGTTGTAGAAACAAGAATAGTCATTTATAGTTCGTCTGAACAGTACAAACATAGTATCTGCATGTTTCATTGCAGTTGTTAAAGCAATATCTGTTCTTGCACCTGGGTCAGCACTTTGGTTTCCAACTTCACCTGCAAAGTCTTTGACAGATATTTGGTGTATAGGGAACATAAGTGGAACTGCAATATATTTGGCAGCTAAAGCATTTGAAATATCTGGGTCCAACATATAGACTGCAAGTCTGCTTTCTATTCTCTTGCATTCAAATTTTTCGCATGTGAACTTAACTGGGTCCCAAGCAGTTCCAGCAGCATTGAAATAATAGTTTACTTCATTGTTGAAGTTTGAGAAACCAAAGTCTAAGTCAACTTTGTCTTTGCAAAATTCGGCGAATGACGTTTGATTTGTTCCCTTTACGTCTGTAAGAGTGAATGGGTCTTGTGTTGGTGCAATGACTAAGTTATTTTTGCTTGGAGTAAGTTCGATAGAAATTTTTCCTGCCCAGTTTGGCAAGTATCTTAAAAACCTGAAGATGAGGAAAGATGACAAAGGAACTCTAAGTTTCAGTTTTACTTTGGTTACTGCTGCTGCAGTTTGTCCAGAAAGGTTAACATAAACTCCTGGAACGTTAGGGTCAAGTCTTCTTATTTTCTCAATATTTGCATACTGGTCTGTTTGTTCTCTAGCTTGTGGTTGTACTGAGTTTCTCAAAGCGAACCATTCATAGTTTGCCCATGTTACTGTTTGAACTAAGTCAGAGTTAGAATATATCTTATATCCCATGAAAACTTCTGGAGCATATTGGTATCCGACATAGAAAATTCCATTGCAACCTTTCTTGTCAGACAACTTGGCAGAAGGTTTTATTTCAATGTCTTGTTCCACGTATAAGAATGAGTTGTCAATAGAAATAATATGAAACCTGTCGCAAGCAATATCTACTGTTGTTGAAGAACCTTCTCCAAACTCACCTACGTTTCCATAAGAAACAGCAGTTGTATATTCGTAAGTTCCAGGAACTATTTCTGACCTTCTAATGGCATTGTCGCATTCGTTATACCATTCGGAAACATTTCCGTTCATGGCATCCAAAACTGTTGGCGTTATATTCTGAGCGGCGTACATTTCATATGGGTAAAAATATAGAATAGTTGGATTTATGTGTCATAATAGAACCCACTCGGACCAAGCTTTACTTTCTTCCTGACTGAGTTTTTAACTCTTCTTTTTCCTTCATTGCCACTACTTTCACTAGATGAAGTTACTTCTTCACTATTTTCACTTTGTTCTACTCTTCTCTTCTTCTTTGGTGTCGCTTTTGGTAACTTGCCCTCTGCTTCAAGTTGTTGCATCTTTGCCTCATGTTCACCTAGTATGTTGTAAATTTCCCATGTCCTTTTTGCCTTTGGGCTCTGGTCGCCCATCTCAGGTAACCTATATCCTAGAAAGATTTTGTCATAGTTTGTATTTGAGTCTTCGCGTATTGTTTGCATGACTCTTTCCTGAGTTTCCGGTTCAAGCTCTTCAAACAGAGCTTGTCCATATGGAATAAGCTCGTTTCCAAATATATGTTTTTGTAGCCATTCTGGTTTTCTTTCCATGTTACCAATAATATCTTTTGTGAATGGGAAAGCTTTTACCCAATGTTTCAGTCTTGCGTCATTTATTTCTGTAGTTGGTTTTATTTTGTCAAGGAACATGTTTTTCAATACTAACATTTCATTTGGTACTGTCCATTTGAGTTTTCTTAAATATTCATCCCTTCTCAGTTCATTGTCTGCAAAGTAAGTTTTTATGACATTTTGTAAACTTTCGTTTGCAAGGTCATGTACAATAGGTTCTCTTCCTTCTATCTCCCTAACTTTCTTTCTAAACTCTTCACCAAATATACCATCTCTATGGTTCTGTGTAGTTCTTTGAGATAAATGTTCTAGAACGTCAGGTGTTATATTTCCATCAGCCATGTTCATTTCATACTGGTCCAAAATATCTGCATGTTTCATATCTTTCAATGGCATTAAAGCCGCGCTGAAAATACCAGCTATATCTGGTTCACCATTCACTTCCATTGCGTCTACAACTTCTTGGAATTGTGGTTGTAAGTTTATGAACCACCTATCCGGATTAGCTTTATGACCCCATCTCATTGTAGTTCCATAGTCTGCAGAAACAAAAGTAGGTTTGTTTCCATATTGGTTAGGTTCTGAATGAACTTTAAACAATGTTTCATTTCTATATGTTTTGGTGAAATTTAACCTTTTATTTTCACCGAGTTCAGCCAAAGATTGAACGTTATATGGTCGTAAGTAAAAAGGATTGTTGTATTTGCGTACACTTTCTTTCAGTTCTTCCATTCTATGCTGAATATTTTCATCTGATGTTGGAGTCTTTTGTATGTCGGCGAACATTTTTCGATATTCTTCTACTATGTCAGCTGAATTTTTCTTAGACTCTTGGAAATATTTCCATATTCTCCGCATACACTTGTTGAGGGTCAAGATTTTTCGGCTGTTCCAAATCTTCATCTAGTTCTGTGAAGTTAGTTTCCAAAGGAGTGACTTGTTCGTTTCCTTCAGGCTCTTCTAGCTGTTGTTGCTGAACTATTTCTTCCATGTCTGGTTGTATCTGAACTTCTTCCTGTGGAGTTTCTTGTACCTCATCTGCTGGCATTTCATATATTCCGAGACCGTTTTTAACAAGTTCCCTATTTAAGCCATCCGCATTCATAACCCTTTCTTCTTTCGTTCCGTCTCTATTTTTTACGCGTTTCATGAAGATAGTTGAATTATCATTTATCTCTGACACCAAATATCTCGGAGTAAATTCATCATGTCATTTGGATGATATGCTATTAAATCATATCCCTTAGCGAGCTTGTATTTTCCAGGTTTGAAATTATATCCCATTTGGTGCTGAACCATAAAGCTAAATAGGTTCGGGTCAGTATTTCCTTCCTTGAACTTTCTAATAGCTTCTTTATATCTGTCACTAAAGTCAAGAGTATCTGGGTAACCATAATTTTCCTTAAGCATTTTTAAGAATTCTTGGTTTCCTTGTTCTCTACTTCTTTTATGTCCTTGCTCTGTTTGTGGTTGTTGTGCAGGGTTTTGAACTGTTGGTTGTGGTGCAGTGTTTTGAACTGTTGGTTGCTGTGCTGGTTGTGGAGGTGGTTGTTGTGCAGTGTTTTGAACTGTTGGTTGTGGTGCTGGATTTTGAACTGTTGGTTGTTGTGTTGGTTGTTGTGTTGGTTTTGGTGCATGCCTGTGTCTGTGTCCATGTGACGATGTAAATGTTTTAGGTAGTCCTGGTGCAGGTGCTTCTCTTGGAGGGTTTGGTGGTATATAAGTTCCACCAGCTGGCACATATGTTCCATCTGCAGCATAATGTCCTACCTGACTTTTCGTTTTAAGAAAGCATTTACTAGGTCTGTTTTGGTCTGTTGTAACTCTTTTTCTTGACTTTCCACAACAGTTGCTCTAACGGCGTCATAGGCACTTTGAACTGCCTGTCTCGTTGCTGCATCTGTTATTTTCGTCATATTTTGTGCTACTTCTCTTAACTCGTTGTCGAAACCTTCAGACTTCAGTTTCTTTCCAGATGAGAAGTCGTTCACTAGTTTCACCTTACTATGAAGAGCTTCGAAGGCGTTCTTAAAGTCAGCATTCATTAAAGCTTCATTTGAACTGTCTTCATCCGCTTGTATTTTTGTCCTTATTGACCCTATAAGTTGGGCTGCTTTGCGTTGGCTTGGGCATCTAACCAGTCATTATTAGCTTTTATATATTCTGCGCTTTTCATTGCCTTTTGCATGGCTGCGTCGTTATTTTTACTTTCTTGTGCTAAGTTTTCATACTGTACGGTTTGGTTTTGCAACTGTAAAAGTTTTTCTGCCTTTACATTTGCTTCAACTTCTTTTTTATACTCATCGCTATCCATATATGTCTTCAGGGCTTTTTGTTTTATCTCTTCATCTTTCAGTACTTTATATTGAGTAGTATGGTTTTTCAAATTTATAACATCTTGTTCCATTTTTGCTACTTCTGCTGCTTTTTCTGACACTTTTTTCGCATATTCCTCTGTACTTAGTTCTTTCAGTTGTTCTTCTTTCTTCTTTTTCTCTACGTTTAACTCATTGAGTTTCTTTGTGTGTCTGTCATATTCTAGTTTCTTTTCGTTTTCACTTATTTGTTTCTGTATGTCTATGTTTGACTTTTTGACATCTGTTATTTGATTTTTGAGTGAACTCAAATTCATTTGACTTTGAGGGTTATAAGCTGTTCCGTCTGCAGCTCCACCATAGCCTGCCATTTTCGCTAAAAGTGCCGCTCTTAAACCTCCACTCTGTGCACCAATAACTCGGTTTAAAAGCATAGGGTTGCTTGACATTTGTTGCAACATAGTGGGGTCATTCATCATTTGTTGTTGCAACTGTTGTTGTGGTGTCAGTTTTACTATTGGATGTTTCAATGCTCCCTTCCTCTTACGTATATTCTTACGTAGCTTACGTGGCATTTTAAGTGAAGTTAAAAAGCGGTTTTTGACAGATGTTTATATGACACTTTTTGTTCAGCACAAAAAACTACTCGGTCAAAGTGTTGTCAGTTTTGTAAAATAACCGTCCTATCTCATTCTATAAGGGGAAAAGGCTTCTCAAAGTATACTTCCTTGGAACGCCTGTAACTTTTCCTGTAGCGACGATAGACCCTTACTTGTCCGGACAAAGTTATACTATTTTGAGTGCTCTACAAAAAAGTCAACGGCGACGACTCTCAAAAACCGTTGTGTAAAAAGTTTTACCGTTGGACAAAAAAGTATATATAGAAAACAAAAAACGTTTATAGTTCATTCAATATTTGAGATGGAACGGTTTGCCAACGGTAACTATTAAATAAAATAAAAAAATAGAGGGGGTCTCCGTTGGTAAAAACCGTTTATTTTAAACTTTTCTATGAGTAGTCCGAAAAAAACAGTTTATTTTTCATAATGGAAGGAAGAAAAAGTGTCGCAAACAATTCGTCGACTACCTCTGCAGTTAAAGTTCCTACAACTTATGTCTCACCATTCTCAAAACCCTTACGACCTCCTATAATACCAAAGCAACTTCCTCATACAATTCAAGACAATTTGTCCAACAATTTGAGTTCTTCTTCTCAAAACACAACAGATACAGTTGTCCAAACAGCACCAGAACAAGTTTCACATAGTTCTACAATTCAAGACAAATTGTCCAACAATTTGAGTTCTTCTTCTTCTCAAAACACAACAGAAACATCTGAAACAGATTTACAACCAGCACCAGAACAAGTTTCACATAGTTCTACAAGTATGTTAACAAGAGCACAATTTCAAGATTTAATTTCTCTTGAACAATATTCGAGTAACGAAACACAAACCGACGACTGTAACCTCTCGCTACCCGATTCCATTCAAAGAAAATACGCCATGAAAAGACTGAAATTGTTGTATAAACTTCTTAACAATTGGGGGGTCGAAGACAACACAGATTATAGTGAAATGTTTAACAAAGTCATAGAATCTCTTAAACCAATTGAAAACGACATAAAAAATCCCGGTGTTCTTGTAGACCTTTTCGCCTCAAAATTACCAGTTACAACTAATCTAATAGCAACACAAGCTATAGAGCAATTTATTTTATGTTTTCCCAAGCAATATAGACAACACCTGAGGGAAACAAGAATAGGAAAATTTCAATTGGTGTATCCTACAACATACAACTATTACGAAGAAGCAAATGAATATGGAGAACTCTCGTTCCATTTCACACTTTCAGTTCCTGAGGGAGAAGAAAAAGCAATCTATCATGTACAATCTCTTGCAGGATGTGAAGGAAAACCTCACATAATAACTACTGTTGCAATTGACAAACCTGCAAGAGTCGAAGACGATGTTTTGTTCGCGTCCATTGCTGGTTTTGGCATGGGAGAACCAATTCCAATTTCCCATTTCACAGAATACTCAGCACAACATTTTCAAAATGTAGAATTCGTGTTCTACGACCATCAAAAGTTCCTGCTAACAAAACCAAAGAAACAATTTGTCTCAATATTTGTTGCTGGTCATGTGGCTGACAAAGAGCCATCAGATACTGACTATGAAGAAGAGGAGGAGGAAGAAGAAAACGATAGCGATGTCGTTCTTATCGAATAAAAACTTTAATTTCTTACTATATAATTTTTTAGTTCTCCTCTAGGTTTTTTAGGGGCTAGAAGGGGCGCAGCCCCTGGAAGCCCCAATGCCTTTTTTTTTATATCATTGATTTTGAGCAATCTCGTTTGAATTGCAACGTTGTAAAATTATATTTCTGATAATGGGAATTGGTCAAAGCGCCATTAACAAAGGATATATTAGTGAAAATGATGCAGCCAAGATCTGTGAGTCAACATATTTCACGGAGAAACAGATAAACATACTAGCAACCCTTTTCAGAAAAATGACCATGAAATTCCATGTAGACTTGGAGACATTTTGCACGACATTGAATATAGAAAACAAAGAAATTGGCGAAATACTATACAACATCGTTGACTCCGACGGTTCCGGAAATATCAACTTCATCGAATTTGTACAGGGACTTAATATTTTCCACCCCGCCGCACCTTTTAAAGAAAAGGCCAAGATGTGTTTCCAAGCGTACGATCGAGATGGAAGTGGATTGGTCTCCAAAGATGAAATCTTAAAGGTTCTTAAAATTTCTCTCAGGAACAATGATTTGATTGACTTTGAGGATGCTAAAGTTGATCAGTTAGCTAATCAGTTGGACAAAGAATATTCGAGAAACAATACAGGCGAGTTAAGTTATACTGAGTTCTACAACATGGTACAAAATGCTCCAGGAGTAATTGAGAGCTTTGACTTAGATATTGATACATTATTTGGTTAATTTATTTTTATCTTTTTGTCATTATTAAAGGATTCTTTCTAATCTAAAGTAGCTGTATAAAATTTATTAAATATGCGATTTTCGTCCCCTTATCTAAAGATTTTTTAATCCATAAAAAAATATCTTTGTGAAATGGTCATGTAAATGACACAGGTTCAATAATGACATATACATTAACTGATTACATCATTTCGATCAAATCAAAATTAAGATTTTTTTTTCTTTTTAAAATAAGTGCTTACCATATATGGAGGGATTATTTTTCATACCAATGAGGTCAGGTGAGTGGGGCTTCCAGGCGCGTTGCGCCCTCTAGCCCCTAAGAAATTTTGCCCAAGACCCAAGAGGAGGACCGAACCCCAGCCGACCAGCCGGTGACAAAACCAAAACTGTTATTATTTACATCATATTAATGGTGTCACTTTTTAAATATCACTTTTTGTTTCACTTTTCACAAATTATATATGTTTTCATGTTTTGTCACTTTTCTGTCACTTTTCGGGTAAAAACATTTTTATTATTATATATAAATGAATTTTACAAAACCACCGTTACCGTTCTTTGGAAATAAGAGTAAATGTAAAGATATTATATTGAGAGAACTTAAGAAACTACCGAATGGTCTAACATTTGTAGATTTGTTCGGTGGAAGTTTCTATATATCCCATTTGTGCCATACAATATTCCCAGACTCAAAGATTATATGCAATGACTTCGACAACTATATGGACCGTCTCAAACATATACCAGACACAAACAATATATTGAAAGAGTTAAAAGAAAAGATACCTATAGGTAAGATGGAACGTATACCATTAGATAAGAAAAATATTGTGAGAGAGGTTTTGAAAAAAGCAGAATATATAGACTGGGATAGTATATCTGCTAGATTATTATATAGTGGTGCTATAAGAGTTCATGACATTGAAACACTTATGTCAAAAGTTTTATATCTCAACTATACAAATGTTTTCAAAGAGGACATAGAAAAATATATTGAGGGTATAGAGTTTGTGAGATGTCATTGGACAGAGTTGTATGAAAAATATAAAGACAAGGAAAATGTTTTCTTTATAGTGGACCCGCCGTTCTATAACACATGGGATTTTCAATACCAAGTAGACTGGACTTTGAGAGACTCTTTAGAAACTTTAGACGTTATACATAACCATCCATGCTTTTACTTTACATCCGATAAAAGTGGTTTGGAAACCGTTATGAGATGGTTAGAGGACATACATGACTATGAGTTTATATATGACAAGATAGAATATGAGAGAGGTCCTATAAACTGGAGAAAGTGTCATAACAAAGAAATTTTATTAGTAAGTAAATGTGGTTTGAAATCGGACTACTTGTTTTAGGTTTTTTCCATTGTGTCATTTATTTATTTGACGTGGCAGAAAAGTACAGAGAATATGAAGATGAACCAATGCCTGCAAATGTTCAGCATATGTACTCGTAAGAGATATTTTTATCTAATATTAAATGGACGCACAGAACTTAGCGAATGCACAGCAACCTGGACAACCAAACCCAGAGAATATTCCAAATGAAGTTAGAATACAAACTGCAATGGCAAACTATGGTCAAGTGCCAACAGATGTACAAATGCAAACTGCCATGTCAAATGACGCTGCGTTAGGTTTGCCACCATGGTATGCAAATATGAGATGGAAAGAGTTTTATACAAACCCTGAAGTGGGATATAAACAACTTTATGCAGATGACGCGAACACAGGAGTTGACCCAGAATATGTTTTCTACCAGAGGAGAAACAGAATGTATGAGCTCCAGTTAAAGAATGCTATGGAACTCAACAGGAAACGTAAGAGACTAGGCGGACATTAGATTTTTACACGTAGTAAATGAGTTTCTTCAGTAAGATAGGAAACTTCTTTCGAAATGTTGGAAGAGGTATATGGAATGGAATAAAATCTGTCGGAAGCGGAGTATGGAACGGTGTCAAAAATATTGGTAAAAGAGTAGGTCAGTTTGTTGGTATTATACCTAAAGACCCTGAACCAGAAGAACAAGCTCCTGTTATACAACAGCCTGAACCTGCACCACAGTCTAGTTGGCAACCAAATCCAACACCTCAACCGTATTAAAAAATTATATTTTTACCGTTCGATAGTAGTTGTATATGAAACTAAGTTCTAAGTAAAACGCATGGTATAATGGAATTATTCTTTTTCTTCCATCTGTAGTAAACCATACTTGAAAGTCTGAAATACTTCCACTTGGTGGTTCGTATAACTTTGTAGGTTTTTCGTAAAAGTCATTCATCAGACATAAGAAAGAGTTTTGCGCACCAGAAAATGAAGCATGAACAATAATAGCATCTGGGTCGAAAATATTTTCATATGTTCCATTAGGGTTTTCGACTTCATAAAAGTCTGGGTGTACTGGATATGCTGCAGGCTGATTTAACATCCTCATAAATCTATACCATGCCAAGTTGTTATATTTTGTAGAAATATAAACGTTTTCTCCAAGGTCTTCTATTCTATTGATTTTAACAGTTGCATTTTTCCTGTCATAAATAATATCGAGATGGTATTCTCCTTCGTCAATGTTATACTGTTTTGCATATTCGATATAGATATCGTTTATTTTTTCTTGAAAAGCTTGAAGAGTTGTTTCTAAGTTTATAAGCAAACTAACTTGTAAAAGTTTTCCCTGTTCAAATTTCTCATACATACGTTTTTCTTTGTTATAGTATCGAACTTCAAAACCGACCGTAAATGGGAAACCATGTATGGCTTCTGAAATGAACTTCATTCTACGAAAGCCAATAGCTTTTGTGACAGATGGGTCTCTTAACCATCTTAATGGGTAGTCAAAACGATAGCCTTCATGCTTTACGGTCTCTGTCTCAAACTTTTGACCGACATTAGTAAAAAGTTCATCTAATGGTTTAGTTGTAGCAACTCTAGAATTTTCTTTTTCTATTGGAAGCATATTTTATCTATAATAAAAATGTCAAATGAAACAGCGTCTATGAGAGAAATACAACACAACCGACAACTCATTATGCAAGCTCTAAATAAGAACACAACAAACTTTTCAAACTATTCTAAGATATCTGAGTCATTGAAAGGGGGTGACTTAAAACTGACAATAAACCCAATGACAGATGAGTTTCTATTTCAAGACAATAAGAACAATACTGTCTGTATAAATCCAACAAAAGGAACTTTAAACGAGAAACCTATAAATGAACTTCTTTTGAAAGCAGATGTTGACAACAAAGCTGACAAAGAATATGTAGACGATGCAATAGCAAAAGAAGAAGAAAGAGCTAACAATGCTTATGCAACAAAAGAACATACTCATCCTGAACTAGCAGACAAAACATATGTTGACAATAAAATGTCAAGTGAAGTGACAAGAGCTGAAAACGAATATTCTAAAAAGACTCATATACATTATATTAACCAAATACCAAGTCTTAAGGAAACATTAGAGACAAAAGCAGATAAGACTCATACACATTCTATATCTGATATTACAAACTTACAAGAAACCTTAAACAGGAAAAGTGACGTTGGACATACACATACCATTGCAAATATTACAAACTTACAAGAAACCTTAAACAGGAAAAGTGCCGTTGGACATACACATTCTATATCTGATATTACAAACTTACAAGAAACCTTAAACAGGAAAAGTGACGTTGGACATACACATACCATTGCAAATATTACAAACTTACAAGAAACCTTAAACAGGAAAAGTGCCGTTGGACATACATATTCTATATCTGATATTACAAACTTACAAGAAACCTTAAACAGTAAAAGTGCCGTTGGACATACACATTCTATATCTGATATTACAAACTTACAAGAAACCTTAAACAGTAAAAGTGCCGTTGGACATACACATTCTATATCTGAAATAACAGACTTAAACGTTAGCCTTGAAAAGAAAGCAGATAAAACATATGTCAATGAAATATACCAAAGTTTGATAGGAACAAAAAATATTGAAACTATTGTTGGTGACTTTTCTGTCAATGAAGAAAATAAATATTTTAGATGGCAGTTTGTACAGTCCTTAGAAAATGGTACACGGTGTAAACTCATTCCGAAAAATAACAATGAAATGTATGTAAGCTATAAAAAGAATGATGGTACACAAGTTAAAGTTCCATTAGACAACAACTGCTACTTAAACTTATATGGAGACGAACAAAAGAAATATTTAAGAGTTTATGAAATGGCAGATATGACATTGCCTGACCCAGCTCCAGCACCACATTATTATGACTATGGAGATGACGACAGAACACCACATGTAGATGAACAAAAGCTAACATTATATTTAGATTATTATAGATATAAAAGATATAATGCAATAGAAAAAACGAGAATAGTATATTATTATACAGATGACAGAAATAAATATTATAGTCAAGATTTTACCTACCCTGAAAACATAAGATTATATTATAAAAAATATTCTGACACAAACCAGAAGAAACCTGAAATAGTTGCACTATATTTTAAGTTCAAAAGAGACAATCCTATAATATCTCATATGTTTGATTTAATGAACCCAGTAGGTTCTATTTATACATCTATGGATGCAAGAGGTCCTCAAGTAATGTTTGGTGTTGGTGCATGGGAACAAATAGTCGACAGGTTTTTGTATTGTGCAAACTCTTCAAAGGAAACAGGTGGAAGTAAAACGATTTCAGGTGAAAATTTACCTGCACACAGTCATTACATAGATTTAAGTACATCTCAAGCAGGTTGGCATAAGCATAGATATTGGGATTGGTCAGGAATGACAAAAGGTAAAGGATATGATGTTAAAGACGACGTTAAGTTTGCTATAAATTGTTACTGGGATGACACGCAGGGAGAAGGAAACCATACACATTTCGTTTCAGGATATACGCAAACAACGGGACAAAGTAAAGAATACATGCCACCTTACATGACAGTTTACGCATGGTATAGAATTGCTTAGTCGTCATTTTCAACTTC